TTTTCGTCAAGATCGGAAATTCGCGAGCCGGCATTTAAGTGGCGTGGGATTTTCACGTTCCCCCGGGACACCTACGCCTCGCGTGCGTTCGACAGGAAAGATGCTGAGCCAGCCTTTACGTAATGGAACGATCTTTTCAGTGCTTCGACGTGTCCTTTGAAACGTCGACACTCGGCCAGAAAACACGCGAATGACCAGTCCTCGATCGTCCCGTCCGAGTCTGCATCAACTCCATTGTGCGACCGCCGACATCGGTCTCGTTTCTGCTCTATCTTCGCCACGATTTCGCAGCTGGAGGAAACGACCTGGCTAGATCGAATTTCTCCGTGCATCACGAGTCGATGGTATCGCACGTACCGAAGTATCCTGCAGAATGAGCGTGAGTACTTTCCGCGGAAACAGAGAAACTCGTTTGCCGGGCTTCGCACTCCGCGATAGAAACATTGGCAAACTTTGCTTCGGTCTTGCTAATCGGTTTTTATCAATCGATATTTTCAAAGCGATAGAAACATTGGCGAACTTTGCTTCGGTCGGTTAATCGTTTTTTTTTTACCGATCGATCTTATCGAAGCGTTTTCTCGGGTAAAATAGGAAAGAGCTGATTGGAGTTTATGGGTTTGAATTGGACTCGACGTGTTGACTTTTTAGAGCGGCGATACTTTTTTGTTACACAGTTTCAAAAGTAAGGTAAAGGCGTTTGATATGAGATCAATTCTTTTTTAAATTATAGTTATTGATTATAATGCTTATTTTAGAGCAAACTTTTTTTGGAATTACGCTTCTATTAAAAGTAGATACACGTTTAAAAAATAAAATATGTATTCTTTTAGTCTACTGGAAAATAATAAAGGAAAAACTAAAAGTATGCAAATTTCTAACATGCATATCTTTTCCAGAAAGTTTATTTTTTTATCCTTCTTGCACACGTCGGGCATACAAAATTTGTTTCTTCGGACCAAATTGAATGCACTACGCAACAGCATTTCTGAAAATAATTCTATGCTTGTCATTTATAAGATATTTGTGCTAAAATCGAACTCTTTCGAAAACTTTTCTCAACGCATTTTATAAATATAATTGCCCAAATCTGTACGCCAATAAGCAGGCGAAAACGTTCGAAGCAGTTCAGAAGTAGCCCAGCAATAAGTACTTCAGAATAACGGTGGAACGATTTTAATAATTCAAGAATTTATCTAAGGATAACGATAACACGGAGAGAGAAGAATAATACTATCAAAATTATTCTAGCTAAAATGAGATCTCTCTTGGTCCCGCAATTTATGCACACAATTTTCGTCTTGCTGAGAAATTCGCGATCGCAATCGCGAACGAGATAGTTCCCTTTTCTCCGCAAAGACTCCGTTCCGTCGCGCGGAGTTTATCACGCGGAAGCGACCCTGCCACCGAAGAAATAATTGCTAAACTAGTTGGTTAATTGGAGAAACTGGCGAATAGCTCTGCGGGACGAGTATGAGAACGACGGTTTCGTTTGCAGGACCCGACGAGCGGCGCATCGGCGCTGCAATGGCCGGATTATCTTGTCATCGGTGTAATGCTGTTGATCTCGACCATGATCGGGATCTACTACCGATTCTCCGGCGGCAAGCAACGCACAATGGAGGTTAAGCTCTGGAAAATTAATTTCGCCACGGACGATCGAGTCGCCGGGCCCGATCCAATATCCGCGATAAACTGCGCTCGATTCGCAGCCGGGCTGTGGCACGTTCTTAGATCACCGGGCCCCGGCCGATCTTTCACCGGTATCGCGTCGATCGATCTCGCCGGCCGATAAATATTGCTATCGACACAAATTGCCAACTATCCGGCCGCTATTAATTTATCGGGTTACCACGGCGGAGAGCCGGCGCGTCGATTGAGGAAATCGTTATTACGATTCCAGGCTCTGGTACACATCGCGGAAAGTGTCTACTCACACTTCAATCAACGCCGATAATAACAATGCCCGGGACTGATCGGGAGGGGGCTCTGCCATTCGAACGGGGAGATCGATTCGCGATACTGTTAGGTGCCCGACACGTGCTTTAACACCTTGTCGACCATTGTTCGCGCCGGTAAACACCTTGGCGTGCTCCGGAGTCGTCAAGCTTCTCGAGAAAAATGAAAAATTAAACGAGGTCGGGACGGTGATGTCTGACGATATTTCCGCGGATTATCGTTTCGAACAGTTGCCGTGCTTTGTCGAACCTGACTCGCGATGAGATTCTTAATATTTATCGTGCATTTTGTTTCGTTCCTTTCGGTCCGAAGAAAGTTCTGTTCTCTGGTGATCTATATTTAAACGTCGAAATAAATCTAGATGCTGTATTAATATACTATATTTTCTTCTTAATGCTAGACTGCGGATTCGATTCTGTTCGTTTTATTCTATTTTTATTTATTGAAATAAGTGGTCCACAAGCCGTAACGAGCGCAGAATAAGGAAATTTAGAGGAATGTAGAACGTACGGAACGCGTGTCGTACGAGTGAGGTTACAAATGAGATTGTAAGGCACGTTGTGTCATGTCATTTTACAATCATAGACATTGCCGCTGTGAAAATCGATTTTATGGGCGCGGCATTTATCAGAAAAATGAGTGGGAGCAAATTAAAGCGATATTCAATGAAAATAAGAATGCCGATATATCACCTTCAATTTGTTAAAATTATTTATAAAATTTGCATTTGACTCCTGCGTTTAATCAGACAATTTCTATCTTGCATAAAGATCCGTAGTCTGATTATCTTAATAAAAAAAGTACTAATTATTGTAAATATAAAGGAAATGATACGACAAGATATTAATGCGAACGACTGAGCTATATTTAAAATCACGGTATCTATTTAACAACATTCTCAGCTGTGAATCATACATTTTTAAATTCAAATATTTAAATTAATTTAAATATTCAAGATAAATATAAAAGAACGTTTAAGCAGCCTGCAGAGATTCAACGGCGACAAAGCACGACTGCTAACATTTATTTTAAAAAATAGAGCCCGTGGATAACATCAAATATCGCATCGATTTGCACACAATCAGTCGACGAAGTTCCAGATCGGTTTATAGATATTGCTGACATTACAACTGTTGCAGGAATACTTTGTGGCAGATCGATCAGTAGGCGTATTCACCCTGTCAATAGGACTGTCGGTGTCATTCGTGTCAGGGATCGCGATGCTCGGATTCGCCGCGGAGACTTATGCCAATGGGATAATATTCTTGATGCTTTGCTCTGGATTCGTGGCCGGTATACCACTGATCATAAAGTTCTATCTACCAGTCTTCATTAAAAGTAACACGCTAAGCGTTTACGAGGTAAGTTAATCAATGATCAAGCATTTCAGCATCTGACAACGATTCCTTCCTAGCACAATTGTAGATCATTAACTATCTGCACTCGAATGATGACTCCGAGGTATCGCTAAAAATTATTATATCATGTTACAAAATAATTTTCATATGTTCGTTTGTATTTAAGTGATTGTTAAAAAGATAACTGTTGTATGAGTCACAAAATTCAATTTCATACGCATGAAATGAACTTTATTATGATAAATGGAAATACTATAAGTCAGAAGAGTTAATCTAGATTTACAATGAAAATGGCTTCGAGTGCAAACTCTACAGAGTAGTCGCAGGAAGAGCAGAGCGTTAAAGATTGTCCCAAAAATGTCTCGCAATCTTGAAATGCGGAGTTCCTGAGATTAATTAGAATAAATTTTTCCTTAGCGAAAACGCTTCGTTTACGAGTTAATTAATTTCGAGAGATTAATTTCCGGACAGATCACAAAAATCCGGAAAATGAATTCCACTAGTCTCAGTAACTGGTCCCCCTAAGTGGGTAGCAAAATTTTGGACCAGTTACTGAGACTAGTAGAATTCATTTTCGAGATTTTTTTATCTGTCCGGAAATCCATCCCACTAGTCTCAGTAACTGGTCCCCCTAGTTCCATCGCAAAATTTTGGACCAGTTACTGAGACTAGTAGGATGGATTTCCGGATAGTTTGGGGTGTGAGTGTATATCGATTTTTTGTAAATGTTATGATTACTTGTGCTAAAAATATCGCTAAAATTAACAGTTTATTATAGTTTTTTATTATTGTTCTTAAGTCTGTCTCCTATGCATCTGCTATGCAACTTAATGTTTCTGGTTTCTTTGTGGTGTCTCTATCTCTAAGTCTCTAAAGCAAAGGCCACCAGTGGTATACGCTTCATCATAGAGTATCTACAGACTATGCCAACCAGCGGTCGAAGCCCAGTGCCGCTGATTGGCTCTGTCGTCTCGCGCTAGCCGAGCTGGCCTCCTGTTGGTCAGCGTTTTTCGTTAATAACTCGTAAACAAAGCCGCGGATTGCATTTTCGCTAAGGAAAAAGTTATTTCAAATGACCTCAGGAACCCCCCGTTTCCAGATTACGAGGAATTTTTGGCTCGACAGGCTCATCAAAATTTATTATCCGGTTTATCGAAAGCACTGACATTGTTATCATTATGACTACGCTACGAGTTTTATGCATTTGTGAATAAACTGCCGATCGTTACGGAAGTTTGATTGTGCGAGATAGACAACCATTTATTTCCTACATCAATGGTTTTACTATTCATAAAACACCATTGGATAGACAAGCCCACCGATATAATCGTTGCTTCATTCCTCAGTACTTGGAGAAACGGTTCGGACCGGCAACTAGGATAACGACAAGCATAGCGAACACTATTCATTTATTGCTGTACACCTCGATTGCCACTTTCGCACCTGCGTTAGCTCTGGAAGCAACCACTGGAATTTCCGGGAGCATGAGCATCCTGATCATCGGAAGCATCTGCACGTTCTACTCGACCCTGGGCGGCATCAAAGCCGTCCTGATCACTGACATCCTCCAGGCAGTGCTCATCATCGCCGGCATGTTCTGCGTCATTATAGTCGGACTTGGCCACATCGAAGGCGGGATAGACGGGGCTTGGACCATCGCTTCTCGTTTCGGTCGCCTAAAATTTTTCGAGTAAGCGCCCCATCGAATCTGGCGAACTTGCACCGCGACTGATCGGAATACAGTTTCAGACTCGACCCGACCGTGCGACACACCACGTGGAACTTGCTACTCTCCGGCGCGTGCATGAGCCTGCACATACACGGTGTCAGCCAGGTCCAGGTGCAGCGTTTCCTCACTGCCAAGTACGTTCGAACAATTCTCGAAACGAGACCGATGACGAAGTCGTCGAAATAAGAAATGAAGACGCTGTTACTTCCTTCCGAATCTAGGAGCATGAAGACAGCAACCTACTCCCTGATAGTCTGCGCGATCCTGATCACCGTGATGATGAGCTTGACATCGATCTGCGGCGTGATCCTGTTCGTGGTGTACGAGGACTGCGACCCGGTCACGTCCGGCAAGATCTCGACCTTCGACAAGATCGTGCCATACTTCGCCGTGGACAAAATGGTCGCCTACCCCGGCACCACCGGTCTTCTGATCGCCGGGATTTTCAGCGCCACCTTGAGCACCATATCCGCCACAATCAATTCCCTGGCGGTAATCACGTTGGAGGACTACCTGAAGCCGTTGTACCGCAAGTTCGGCCTCGAGCTGCCCAGCGAAAGAGCGACGCTGATCGGCAAAGTGCTGGCGCTAAGCTACGGAGCGATATCCATTGGCTTCGCCTTCGTCTGCAAAGCCATGGGCTCCGGGTTAATTACGTTGGTACTTGCGCTGATGGGATTAGTGGGTGGACCGGTCATCGGCGTCTTCACTCTGGGAATGTTCACCGAAGCTGCGAACGAGATCGGCACCATCCTCGGACAGATTTTCGCGTTCATTCCCGTCTTCGTGTTATCCAGCGGCGCCTCGAACCACGTGATGAACCTGCCGTTGCATTTGGACGGCTGCGACAATAGCAGTATGACGAATTATACGGAGACGACCACGATGTCCTGGGTGCAGTAAGTTTGTTTCGATATTTTTGGTAGCTTCAGGTCGGACGGTTTTTAAGATCTCGTCGCACAGAGCGGATCTGGACGCGGTTTGCCCTTTGGGGCAATGCGTCGGGCCAGGCCACGCCTATTGGGCGCGGGCCACGCCCACTCGAGGCATTTCACGCGGAAAAAGCGAGATAAATGACGTTCGCGCATGATCTGGATCTTTGGACATCGTTTTCTAATGCCCTTCGAAACGCTCCTAGATTGTTGAAATAATTTCTCGGTATTTCGTCACGAATGCATAATGTCCGCTGCCTGGATTCCAGTTGAAAACGTTTCTAGATTCGAAAGGAATACGAGAAACTCTCGATACGCAGGAAAATGTGAACAATTTCACCGTCTAATGTTTCCATGGGAATTGGCCTGTCGTGCGAACTTTTCCTCGGGATTTACGGTCAGTATCTTAGCAGATTTTTCCATCGGCTGCTAATCGCTTTGATAAATGTTGCCCGATCGGGTTCCTTTCGAACGGGGAAACTGTACTGGTTGGCAGTCGATTCAGTATAGGAGCGGTCCCGGTAAAAATCGAGAAAAAGGAGGGCCGAAAGAAAGAAAGTTGGTGAAACGTTTCGGCGCCGAGAGAGCCGGAGATCCTAAGCGTTGATAGGATTTTCGACGGGGCCCGGGGACTCCGGGTATAGTAATCGATACCGGAGCGGCACGGCGAGCAAATTTATCGGAAACGGATGATTTCTTCGGACGATAAAGGCGCGCGGCGCGCGGATTTGTAATTGGAATATAAATTACAGCCGGCTCGTTCTAGGATACGTTATCATGTTTTTAATGCATTCTACGATAGCATGGGCGTGGTGTTGATCCCGCGGTAGCAATAATCTGTTAGGAGACCGTGATTGCCTCCCCTCGGATTTCTTTCGGCGTGCTCGCTTTCTCGTAAACCATAAAACTTACTATTCATCGTTTCCCACGATGTTGGCTAATTGCTACGTTAATAAACTGTGATTACAGCTTCCTTGAAAATCGTACCCGCGTCCCACTATCGCCGGGCTTTCTCTATCGAGCGCCGTGCACCACATCGCAATCACACTTTTCACATACTCTTACGGGTATTTTCCACATAATGAGATTCGCGTGAAACGGTTGTTCGATCGTAGTCGAAATTGCAATCTATTTGCCCCTCGCGTTTCCCGAGACTTTTAAGTCAAAGATTGTTCGGAGAGATGGTCGAATCGAAAGTATCTTGCTCGTCTATTTCTGAACACTTGTAAGCCAACAATTTTTAGAATAGATGTTCGAATTACTGTTTTTGTACTTTTCGAGACTTCTGAGACAAGAATCTTGGAGAAGATGTTTGATTCGAAAATATGCAGACGATTGTATTGCATTTGTATTTTCTAAGACTTCTAAGAGAAAACTTTTTAACACTAAATCTACCGCGGTCAAAGTGACCGCTCTCTTATTTTGCAATTCTGCAAAGTTCCGAGACTTTCGTGGAAAACGCTTGAATAAGTTATTGGAGCAAGTTTTATAATAAAAGCTTTAGAAATTCTAAATAAATTCGGTCTTCTCACTTTTGTGAAGCAGTACATGCCAGTTAGTATCACTGCTTGGTAGGTTTAGTGTTAAAAATGATGTTCGAATTGAAAGTGCATAAGCCATTGCATTGTTTTCGTATCTCGCGCGACTTTTAAGGCAAAAATGATTAGAAAAGATGTCTGAACTGAAAGTGTATAACGAATTATTGTTTCTGAGTCTCCCAGGATTTTTAATAGAATGCTTATTAGAAAAGAGAGAAGCTTGATCTGAAAATATTTAACCAATTCTACACTTTTTATATCTCTCAAGAGTTTTAAGGCAAAATTATTAAATAAAGAAGTTTGAATTAAAATTATTGTATAAGCTAAGACTTCTAGAGATTTTCTCGTAGATTTGTCGCAGGGGTTACTGCGACGGTTTGTATAAAATAATCCGAGAGTTTTTTTGGTTTTTATATAACGAGAACTTTAATATAACTTGTAACAAAAGGCGATGAGGTACAGTGTGTAGAAGGTAAAGGTAAACGAGTGACGGATGATACAGAAATATGGACACGTTGAGAGTCGGAGGAAAACTTGCTAACTGACATCTCTCGGTCGAGAGGTCCTCGTATTTATTGGTAGGGAAAGTCCTTGAAATTGGTAAGGGAAAGTCCTCGGGAAGGGCGAAGGCCTTTCCCGAAGATTTTCCGACCGGGGTGATCCGGGACCTATGGTCCGAAGCTGTGTCCCAACGTTTTTATTGTTTTATTGCGGGGTGTACGCCTTGCGTCGGGAAAACCCGAAAAAGGCATATGCACACCCCGCTTTTGAAGGACGTGTCTTTTTATGTCCGGTCCGCCACATAGATATAAGCAAGGTGCAAAGCGCTAATTATTTCTTAATTCGCAGACCACCAGAGGATCCCGAGCTGCCCTACCTGTACCGCATTTCGTACACACTATACCTTCCCATCGGTACGATGTCGACCGTGCTCGTGGGCTACACCATAAGTCTGATTATCAACAAGTTCTTCCCGAAGTACTCGCGTGAGCCAGATCCTGATTTACTCATTCCCTTCCTAGCGAAGAAGATCAAACGGAGAAAGGAGGACGTCAGCAAGACTACCAATAGCCAACTGTTCATACTGCAGTATAGAGAACCTAACGAGAATCATGATAAAGGATCTTAGAACAATGTTAATCGTGTAAGTCATTTCGTTCTCAACCCGACGCTGTCCAAATTTCTGCAACATCGAAATGCATATTATATGTGCACGAGTGCGTTAGAATCATGGCAGCATAAGCCACATACTCTTAACTGTGAGAAACAAGGAGTGTTATTGTTATCTAACAGGTTATCGTTCATTAAGCAAATTTATTCTTAATATAATTTAGAAACAAATGAATTTATGGCAGCATTTGTCGTTTCAAAAAATTTTGGCACGTACAGATTACATTATAACATTACATTATAAATTACATTAAATTGTAATTTTAGCGAAGCCTAAAATATACTCGTAAATTTGAAGATGTTTCGAATACTTGATGGTCTAGACGAAATAAAAAGCTACAGTTAGCGATCGCTACATCGCTTAATTTTTGCGACACAGTTTAGATACGCACTCTTCACTTTTCAGAAATAGCAATGGATTTCAGAAATATTTAATAATAATTTTAGAAACAATAACAGCTACCTGATTAAAACGTAAGTGAAAATTTTCGAAAACGCGACTCACGCCACTATGATTCGAACACGCTCGTACAATGCTGCGTCAACAACTGCAAAGCATCGAGATCCAAAAAAAAACGTCCCGCATCCGCCCAGATGGTCCCTATCATAATTACAACCATAGGCACGCAATTACATCAATTCTGCGCTGAAACGATCGCATACCGCCGCGCGCGGCAGCAATCTCCTCGTGGCCGATTAAAGATTTAATTAGCAAATGAGTGTACACGATGTCGTCGTTAATCGTACACTCTCGCCGATTCCATTAGCATCCGTGGAGCCAGCGCGATAACTCAGTGCAGGTGACACAGGATGCGGTGCAACCAGTTTCTCAAATTCGCTGATCCTCTTTCGTGCGACGATTCGTTCGCGAGATCGCGAATATGTGTCGGCCGCGTTGGAACGGGTGTCGACGCGACTGAAACCGGCCGGTGTGCAACGCAATCGAAAATCGTGTCCAGGCGTCAGGCTAAGTAGCCGCGATTGCCGGAAAAAGGAAATGAACTATCGCGGTGGCTCTTCTACATGTGGGTCAGAGACGGATCCGCGAGACTCGCCGAAAATTGGCGCGACTTATCCGCCGCGATCATGCGACGACCCGCAGGCGTGAACTCTAACTGGCTTAATTAGACCTGATTCAGGCGATCGCGTCGCTCAACCGGCGCTGAAAGACACGCGATGTTACGGTAATAATTGATCCTTTCATCGCGATCGACCCAATTGAACTCCCCCAAAACGGTCGTTGCGAAAACCGACCGGCATTATACTCCGACCGGTAACGGTCGCGCGCATTGTTTGCGGAAGCGGAACTGCAGTAATTTATCGCGCGTAATTGTCTCGAGCTGGGCAGTGGGAACACGGCTTTATAATTCGTTTAATTGCTGTTCGCCCGTCCGTTCGTTCGTTCGAGCGCGTGCGCGCCAACACGCCGAATTTCGTCGCGTAAATTGCGGATAAATTTCGGGGGAAAACGGACGTTGACGATCACCGGGAATTAAAAGCCGCCGTTGTCGTTACCAGCCTGGGAAATTATGGCGACATTTTTAATCGGCTCGAAACAGACGATCCATTTCCCATGGCACTCCAAGCCGCCAGCTATTCCGCGTCATCGATCTCGACTTTTTTGGGCGTGGCTGAGGACCGGCACACTTGTTCGCGATCGTTCCGAGCCACCCCCACACGATTTGGAAGCGGTTCGTGTCACGGACAGTCATTCGTCCCCGTCGATCTAGCGATCTTTTTAATCGCTGTTGGCATTAGCCTGTGATATCTCTTTGATATGTATTATTCTTTGATATAGATCTTGCGACAAAAATGAATCATTTTGTAGATTGTATTCATTCTTTTGCAAATCGAATTAACCCTTCCACAGCTCAAAACTCGATTTTTAAATCTTATGTCAATTCGTATACTCGTACAGAAAATAATATAGATTTCATTGCGAGTAATTGATCTTTATAAATCGTCAATAATCATTCGATCCTCTGCGGACGAGGATTTCTTCGAATATCGAAAATAATTTCCTCGGAGAACTAGATTTTGCATAAAATACTTCAATAATAGGAAAAATAAACAATATTTCTTGATCATCTGTTATGATATCGTTACTGTGATGACATTCGTCCCTAAACGATTAAAAAATGTCGTAAAGTTTTTAATTTAATACACGTACTTTGTGTGTTACGTGATTTTTAATATTAACAAGTGAATATAATTTGAAAAAGCGTTAATTTTATTTGCGAAAAGGTGTCTCTGTAACCATAGAAATATGGTAAATTAAATATTCATCATTGATTTCAGGAAATGAGAGTCAATGCATGCAGTACAATAATGATTTGACTGCGAATTTTGCGTATTTCTAGCAAAGATGATTAAATGAAATTATTTTTTATTTTACATAAAAATCCGTTGGGGTTCGACGTTCTGGAGGATACAATTTGGAAGTGAACATGTTTTAGGAACAGCTCTGCGCGGTTCCTCGGTTGTCTGTTGACTGTGTCGACGCCGGCACACCCATAAATGATCCTTAAAAAAAAGGGAACGCGTGAGAACGTGGCTGTTCATGCAATATCCGATATGGTGTTTAAACAGACCCCTATTCTGGCTCGTTAACGCGATTAAGGGATACATTTTCGAGTGGGGGCGGAACCGCCTATATCTATATTATTCCGCAAGGAAGATCAATGTGAAGATTATGACAAGCTCTGTCAAAACGATCCAAGTGTTTCGATCAGAACAGAGTTCGGCACTTGCTCGAATCGCTTAATTATTTATCTAAGATAATTATCCGAATGAATTCTTTTTAGTCGAATATTTTATTCCGCTAACGATTATTCATTATTCGTCATAAATTATTCCGTCTGTTTATTCGAACAAAGAACTATTCTATTTTGTACGAATAAATTCTTATTCGAATAAAATCGTATTCGGATAAATTGGTATCTAAATTCATTTTTATTCGACTTAATATTTATTCGATAGTGTCGAATCAAATTCTATTCGTTATTCTTTATCTCTTATCCGAATAAAATTTTGTCTAACTCCGGCTCAAAATAATATCATAAATCTTTCAATTTACAATTATTGAGATTGTGATAAATAAAATCAATAAAAATCTATTGAAATTGTGATAAGTAAAAAATAAAAGTCGCTAAGCATCCGAATAAATACATTACTGTTACAAAATAATATAAAGTAGTTGCTGTTAATGCTTTTTAAACCTGGTGTTAAACGCTGTCGGAGTATTTAGATGATTTCATACAGCGCATCGTCCCGGAGAGACCGGTCACTGTCATCCGCCGGGTTCATAAACAGCGAGAGAAGGAATGGCCCCCTCGATCATGCGGATATCCGCGGTGAAGCCGACGGGAACTGGTCGGTCCGTCGGATTCGACCAGGAGAAAGGCCTCGCCGGCGACAATTAGCCATTCCGTAAACCCGTGTCTCCGCAACTTCTGTATATTCATCGTGGGAGGGAGATTTACAACGTCCAGGAAGCGTGTAAACCCGATGCCTGGATCTCGTGTGATCTCTACGAGCGCGGTGAATGCTGTTTTCCGATGAGAACACACCGCCGAGCACCGGCCGGGAGCTTCTCGTGATCGAACCGTGCAATTAAGTTTCGTGGAAGCGACGTTTCGATACGTAAATAACGTGTTTTATGACGCCGGAGACGCCGGCGAATAAGCGGCGTCGCTCGAACACATGTAAATCATTGGTTCGTTACGTGGGATTAAATCCAGCCGAACCTTTTCAGCGATTTAAATTATGCGCGGCTGTCGTCTTATTTCTTTGCCCGGCCCGGAACACGCCGTGGCATCCTTTTGCTCTCCGGCCGGCTACGAAAACGTGCCGTTTTTGGGCACTTTGTGCCGACAGTCGTTTCAATATATCGTACGCGCAACTTAATATTCAATATTTTATCCAGCATTTTACGATTCCCGTCCGCGCCAAAAATTAATCCTCTCGTAGAGACCCTGCTCGTATTTCTGCACTATAAAATTGTCCTTTCACGAGTTAAATTCACTTATCCGTGTAATTTTATTCGTTGTAATTTTAGTAAAATTCGTATCCGATTTCAAAATTGTGCGACTTGTTATGAACGATTACGAACGATTTATGAAGATTAATTATACGTAAGGAAATTCGTATTGTTCCACGAATAACCACGCAAATTTATATTAAAAATTAGGTAAGAAATGGCTAATTTTGATCTGTGAAAGAGACAATTTTATTTACATAAACGTGAATATAATGCGCAAATGGATAAATTTATAGCGCAGAAAGATGAATGTAATTTGCGAAAGGACTAATTCGTTGTTTAAAAAGATGATCCACAAAAGGATTAATTTTGACTGCAAAATCAGCAGCCATCTCAGAAACGTCCGGAACCTTATTCGAATTCCATGCAGAAAGAGAAACATCGATTATGGTTCCGCCGCTGGACGTTCGATGTTTGAGCCATTTGCTGCGACAACAACGACTTATCGAACCTGTTGCTTCGAACAACATTTATTTAGCACTTTTCCCGGCGCAAGCAAGTGTTTGACTAGCTCGAGGAGGCTGCGAGGAAGTTACACAAACGGGGATCGACGAGTTCTGGTCCCTGAAACGAGCTAGATAAATGTTGTACAATTTTCGAGTGACTCGTGGCAAAGCTGAACAGCGAAAATTGTTCTACGTTCCGCAGCGTTCGGGAACCGGCTGCGAGGCGGCTTTGCGGGTCGCTGCAAGATGCACCGGTTCATCCGTTGCGTGACCACGGCTGTAAACGGTGCCGAACAATGCGGCCCGATCGAGGCCGATACATCGAACACCTCCTGGTGTAACGACCGCGCCGACAAAGTACGAACAAATGCGCCGACGAATAAGCGCGGGAGGGCAATAAGATCGCGGCAGATGGAAGTATCAGCTGCACAGCCAGGGGCGGATCGTTGGCCACCATCGAGGCTGCCTTTCGAACTAGCCGATCA